AATGCAACCGGGACAATGACTCTGAGTGTTGTGTTCAAGGCAAGCCCTACACCACATACAAATGTTCACCTCCTGTGACTAGCCATACTAAGGCAGTACTCACTTTAAACAGCTTCCAGAAGGGTGGAGATGGTGGCGGTCCGTCAGAATGTGACAACCAGTATCATTCTGATGATAAACCAGTCGTGGCACTGTCAACTGGATGGTATAAAGGAGGATCAAGGTGTCTAAACAACATTAAAATTAGTGCTAATGGGCAAACCGTGACTGCTATGGTTGTTGATGAGTGTGACTCCACTATGGGATGCGATGAAGACCATGATTATCAGCCGCCATGCCCTCACAACATTGTTGATGCATCAAAAGCTGTGTGGAAAGCCTTAGGTGTGCCTGAGGATGACTGGGGCGAGTTGGACATAACTTGGACCGATGCTTAGTTTGAAACTGTAGCACTTGTTTATTCTGTTTTTCATGTTTTAGCTTATCCTGGCATGCATTGTGAAACTATGTAAACTGTGTACTATCCTAGTCTACTGAAACTGTGTCAATTTCTTATTAAAGAGTCGGGAAATGTAATGTCATTACGTGAATTCTAGCTTTGTGGGTGATCATATTTGCATCGACACTGAATAAACCATTCATATTAGGCATAGAATGGTTTTCTCATAAATTTTTATAGCAATCAGACAATCCAAACTTCAACAAGTGATGACTCCATACGACCCTGGTGATGAAGATATTGGAAAACACAAATTTTCCTATGTAATTCAAGTAAAGATAGAGGAAAAGGATCATCAGTGATCTTGTAGGAAAAAGGATACATCCAATTCCTTCACGCAATTTAAATTCTATTTTTCTCCAAAAAAAAATTACCATGCCTATTATTGACTACAGTTTTTGGGTTTTGATCCATCAAGAATGTTATTCCTGTGAAATCTTTGTCCTTAGCACTAGCAGCTACATCTGAAGGAAGTAGCTGGAAAACTTTGGATAGTTAAATTGTTTGAGGGATATTTTTCTTTGATACCAAGTTCTAAAGCAAGGGATTTCAGGGTATGTATCAGACAAAAACCTTGATATAAGCATTCAAATCATAGTTCTGGGCTGTTTCTGAAGCAATTAGAGTGGACAAATGGAAAGAAACCAAGCCCCAAAGAATCAAATACACGTGCTTCAGCTGCAGGATCAATGGATTAAAATTGTTCAAGAAAGAATCAAATACACGTGATTTCCGAGTTCAATGCAGAGGAAAGAGCACCGAGTAATATGGAATGTCAATTGTATGTTCATAAATAGTTCAGTTGGTCTTCATTGCTATTGTAATATGTTTAAATGTAGAGAAGAGTATATATATATAACTAAAATAAAGAAGTTATTATTAGATGATTTGTGCTCTCCATTGAAGGTTTTGTAAAGGGAACTATTAAGCTTATAACAACATAGATTACAACCATTGCAAGAAATTCATACTGATTCAGGAACTATCCCCTTCCAATTGACTCGTTAAAATTTACGTAAACTGAAAGAAATCAGAAACAACATAGGGTATCATGTCCAACCACTATTGAACTTCACATCCGCTTCATAGCTGGCTCCAGTTTACAATTACTACAACGCATCAGTCATGCAAAAAATTTAGAAAACACCTATGAGGCTATGAATTTTTTTTATTAAGCTAAAAATTGTCCAAAATACATCATCCCTTGAGCTAGTTAAGGCTTCCAATTCAAGCAGAAAAAAAAATAAGGGCATAGGAAAGTTGCTGGGCTGAATTTCTTGTAGGACATAAAGAACAACATATAGGTGTACAAAAAACAGTGTTTTGGCCTAATAAAATTGTGCTATGTTGACAATGTCAACAGACTACAACTTCGTTCGTATGTGGTATACTTAAAGCCAGTAGAAAAGACGATGATGGTCATCTGAGGACAAACCTAGAATGTAGGCCATGATTCTTCTGGAGTGAGACCATCAGTGTCAATACTTTTATGAACAACAGACTAGTATAATATAAAGTATAAAGTAAATATGAATAGGATTTTGTAGTAATGTGAGATGAGGACTATTAAAATGAACTTAGTACCTTGTAGAGCTTTCAGACTGCAGGACAAAATAGGAGCAATATACTAAGGCAGCAGAACAAGTTTCTCTATTAGATTATAGGTTTATCCCACTGGTGAATACAGATTATGGCAGACTAACACTCAAATATGATATCTTGTTGGGAGAGAATGAATTACTAGACTTATATATCATAAATGTAATGTTTAACCAGGGCACAATGCCGTGGCAGCAATGTTGAAATACGATATTTGTTGGGTCCTTTTTAATACACTTAAAATGTTCCGAGACTCCTAAATTTGATCCACATGAGCCCCTTGTTCGGACAATATTACCACCAAAATAGATTGTGTATGAAGCAGAATTTTCTTCTCTTTAGCGCAACCTCAGCATTTTGCTTCAGCGAGACTTATATGTACCCAGTCTCTAGATCTTGATTCTGATCAAACGGTTCAACACTTTAGAGAGAGAGAGAGTATGAAGAACTTCAACCTAGGAGCATTTGTTCTTATAATGCTTATGCTCATTGTTTCAAATTTTTTACAGGCTGAAGCTCAGACCTGCAAACCCAGTGGACATGTTAAGGTCAAAAATACACCTCCTGGACAATGCAACCAGGGGAATGACTCCTCCTGCTGTGTTGAAGGCAAACCCTACCCCACATACAGATGTTCACCTCCGGTGTCTAGATAAACTATGGCAGTTCTCACTTTGAACAGTTTCGAAAATGGAGGTGGTGATATGCCACCATATTGTGATAGCAAGTACCACTCTGATGTGGAACTAAATGTGGCACTTTCAACCGGATGGTACAATGGAGGGGAAAGATGCCTCCACAACATTACCGTTAGTGCCAATGGAAGGACTGTAAAAGCTAAGGTCGTCGATGTGTGTGACTCCACCATGGGATGCGACGAAGACCATGATTATCAGCCTCCTTGCGCTAATAACCTGGTCTGATGCTTAGCAACTTTTTTTGCTCATGTCTGAAACTGTAGTCCTTCTTTATTATCCTTTTTTCTTGCTTTAACTTAAGTTGGAATGGATTATGAATCAAAAAAAGACTCCATATTTTGCTCTTGCAGTCTATCTTGCAATCAGGACCAGGATTGGTATCGTACCCAATCATTGTTGAAGTTTGCATTCACTCCTTATCAATCCCAGGATACCACTAGTACAAAAACACCAGTGTTGGACAATTCCAAATAGAAAAGGAATAGGGAAGCCACTGGGCTGAATGATTACTAAAACTTCGTTGATCTTCGGGGTTGAGACCATCAATATCTATATTTTTAGAAATCAAACGAACAATAGGCAACAATTGCAGGAATTTCTAGGGCGTTATTATCTCTGTCCTGATTAAGCTGATGGACAGTGTGAATAAAACTTCCTGGTAATGTGAGCTGAGAACTATTAAAATGAAGGATTAATTAATTGTACTCAAAGTCCCAAAATATGGAGTTTGACTATTTTGATTCTCAATATTTTAATTACATCATTTTAGTCTTTGAAATATTAAATATTGTTCTTATACGGTCCCTCAAGCAGATAATGTTCAGATCGCTAACGATCTTTTTATTATAATCTTGTCTTGTAATATTTAAATATGGGGGGAAAAAAATTGAAAAACTCTTGACCAAATTTTGGTCAAAAAGCTACCCAAATTACATAGTTTTGATCATAAGTATCCAAATTTTGATCAAAAATTAACCATATTACACATTTTTGACAAAAACTACCCAAATTATTTTTTACTCATATTTAAGTATCACGTAATCAGTTTATGATCAAAAACTATTAGCAATTTAATTGTGAGACACCATATAAAAACAGATTCAATACTTCAGGAACTAAAATGATGCGATTGAAATATTATGGACAAAAATAAAACAAACTCTATTTTGGAGACTTCAAGTGCAATTTATCGTAAAATGAACTTCGTGTCTTGGGGTTTTTTTCCAGATTTTAAGCAATATAATACAGCAGCATGACAAATTTCTCCACTAGATTATAGTTACACACACACACACACACACACATATATATATATATCAATAAAAGTAGACAAATAAAAAAGTGCATAGTTTGGGACAGAATATCATGACTGTAACGTCGAAGAAAAATATACAGACGTTCACCTCCTGTGACTGGAAACACTAAAGCAGTCCTCACTTTAAACAGTTTTGAAAATGTGGAGATGGTGGTGGACCATCAGAATGTGACAACCAATACCACTCTGATGACGAACTAATTGTGGCACTGTCGACTGGATGGTACAACGGTGGGAGAAGGTGCCTGCACTATGTCACCATAAATGCCAACGGAGAGAGTGTAAGAGCCAGGGTGGTTGATGACGACACCACAATGGGAAGCGACAAAGACCATGATTATCAGCCTCCATGCGCTAATAACATTGTTGATGCCTCGAAGGCTGTGTGGAAAGCCTTAGGCATGCCAGAAGATAACTGGGACGAGTTGGATATAACTTGGTCCGATGCTTAGATACAAATGAGTTTCAACAGGTCCTTGTTTTCGTTACATGAATGCTATCACCCATGATAAACACTCTGATGCAGAAAAATCACAAAACAAAAATTCTACCAAAATTGTGAGATTGTACAAATCATCGAGATTTCGATGAGCTGCTTATCTAATTAACCAGAACACCTGTTCTGTCTTAACTGGTACAACTTGAAGATAAACCAATACTCATACAATGTAAATTAAAAGGACACATATGACTAATCCCAAACTAGATATCCATTGGCAGCAAAGACATGAGTACAACCCAAATGCTACAGTAAGTGTGTGTAATAAGATCAATCAGGTCAAACACCACGGCGTATTTCCCCGTCCTAGGTGGGACTTACGAGATTAGATTCAAATGGCTCTGAAATGCCAAATATATGCATTGCACATCTCTCTACTGCTAGAAATTATCACGCACGCATCAAATCAATGTCAGCATGAACATTTTCCACATCAAATGGCCGTGAACCTGGCCAAACACCCATGGAAGAAGTCGGAGTAAGATTTTGAGTTGGCTGAACACTAGCTGGAGTGACTGGATTATCAACTGTTTGGTGGTCTGAATCTCCACCACTTTCTAGAATTTCACCGGCCTTGTTCTTTGTTCTTGGACTACCACACAAGAAGCTCCCCACTATCACCTGAAAAATGTCATCATCCATTTAAGCCTCACAATACAAACCATTACGATTTGTTATATCATACTTGCGTGTGCTATATAATATGTAGCATACTGCCAAAGATGACAGCAAGGACCAAAATTTCGTTTTGGTGCATAGCTTCAATCAACTCAGAAATGGAAAAGAGAAAAAAATTTGAGAATTTGTTTCCAAAACATCAGTTGAAACGTACTGAAACAACTTGAAACGCCTCTAAACATTTTGAAACATGTTGAAACAATAAAACTTTGATATTCAATCACCGATTTGTTCCGATTTCCGTAGAAACACAAATGTTTTGGTGGGAAATAAAAACGAAATTTTGATACTTGGATTGCAACATAAACAAGTATTACTGGGCTGAAACTAGAAGTTGTTTTCTTTTGGTACTGTTGTTAGTCGTTTATCTAATGAACAGATATCGAACCTGGCAATATAGTTAAGTAGTGAAATAGGATGAGGGACTGCAAGTAGTTAAAAGGCCACTTCAATTCAAAAGAAGTTACCTGAACAAGGCTGGCTGCAATTAGCACTCCCCCTATTCCACCACCAAAGACCCGACCATCAGGACTAGCCAGAGAAACACTTAGACCACCAGTTCGGTTGCGAGGGCCACCATTATCAGTAGGCAAGTAAGAGCCTGACAGACGCAATATCTCAAAGCGCCCCTACAGAAGGCATAGAAAGGTGCACCAGACAAGTATGCGCTCCTCAGGAAAATTGAAGTTTTTATAGGAAACAAAGATCATATGAAAAGAAAAAAAAAGTAGGATACATTTCAAATGTAGAAAAGATGTCAGCAAGGCATATTGAACCATTGACATCCTAAAGCTATCTAATCAAGCATATATCAGAAATTATTGGGCTATTTGAGCATTAAGGTCCATTCTAAGGAATAAAAGTAGGGGCAGAGCCATGATTCCATTTTAGAGGGGGCAAACTATGACTGAAAAAAATTTCAACGTGTTTTACAAAAACATGTCCAAGCATGAAAACATATTTTAGAATTCAACTCTGAATTAATATTAAAATAGAATAATCAGTTTTCATTTAACTTAAACAAAATATGAACAAAACTATCATCCCTTAACAATACATAAATAGATGGATTCAAAAACTCACACTTGCCCCACTCCTCCTATGTGGCTCTGCCCTAGAATGAAAGGAAACTCGAGAGATGTTAAAAATAATTGGTATTTGATGGAGGGATGCAAATTAATTTCTGCATCTTTTACAGTCATAAAGCATGATCAAACTTCTGTTTCAGCAAAACTACAAAAGGTAAAGAGACACAATACAAATGTAAACATGTGTGAACACAAATGCATACAGAAAATTTCACACCTTCCAAAATAAGCACATATTCAAATCCACTGGATATGTCATATATAAAATAAGACGAATAAAACAATGGGATTAAACTTTTGTTCGTTTATGCACAAGCAAATGTCTCAAGACACAGGTGGGTATCTGATTTTTCGTTGCCACTCCCATAGCAAACCACCAACAAGGCACACCTTGGGCGTTTTATCTTAGTATTCACTGATTTTGAATATGATTTATTTGTATCTAAAACAAATAGAAGAATGTACAAGTTTACGCATGTAGACAAATTATCCACTAATGATTAGCATTTTTCTTCATAGCTACAGAAACAATAGGCAGCAAAACCCCAAGGGACAGTAGAGGATAATAACAATAATGTGTCTAAACCTCATATGTGACAGTGCCTCCAGAAGTTGATGGCCGACGAAGAGTCACAGTGGAGATGGCACCGTTGGCCGACAAGACGCATATAGCTCTAGGCCCTTGCTGCAAGAATGACATTATCTTTGTTGCAATGTCCTGCATCAAAAACCAAAATCACAAAACGATTTCAAAAGATATGGCTTCAACAAGAAACACTGCGATCTTGTAAGAGAAACCAAAATATAAATTTCAAGCATAAAAAAAATGTACAAAACGAAGAGAAATCAAAATTGTACCACTCAGCCAAGACACACGACAACACTGAATGTACCATTTTCTTTTTTTCCCACGAGATTTTTTCAGTGCCATAATTTATCTTTACTGTCTTCCGTATCAAGGGCATAAAATGTAATTGACTTCGTCGGCTGAACATCTGTTTTAGCCTCATGTAACAGCTATTTCACAAATCAAGCAAAGACCATACCAATCAAAATCTAGGTGCTAGCTCTTTTTGCATTTATGCCCAATCTTTTTCCATTAATATAGTCATTTAGACATTATTTATTGTGAAGAAATCATTTACTACACTACTAAATATACCATGTCCGCAACTAGTTAAGTAGATTTAAACCCCATCACTTCAATGAAAAATGTTGCATCCCCATGCTAATTTCTGCTCTAATGTGTCATGTCTAGTACCAATGCAAGTACAGAAAGAGATAATCTATGGGGTAACTTGTGTTTTCTTGGCAAATCAACCTTAAAGCGCAAAACAGTTAGAGAGACTGACAAGGGCACATACTTCTCCTACAGCAATGGTTATGACATGTGGAGTAAATCCCATTCCAGCTGAACACGATAGTGATTGACCTAGCAAATTAGCAAGGCAAAAATGTAGATAATCAGTAATGCAGTTAAATCCCAAAAATCCTAAAATTTTTAATGCAGAAATGTAAATAGTTAGCTTTCTTCAGTAGTTATCAACACTTTCAGCCTGCAGGATTCCAATATAAAAAAAAGGTTCGAGGTGACAAGCAGATGTAATATAAAAACTGAAGTCTTTTATCATATTAAAAGTGA